ACTGACCTGCTGATCTCTCCCTGCATAAAATCCTTTCCTCAGCAGCAGTAAGCCTTGGGCTATAAACTTGAACAGGAGCACAGACTTGGATTCAAACTCTCCTGAAGGTCAGCACTGCTCAGCTCAACTGATTGGCATCCGAAGCAAACATCAGGAATATGATGCTCGTGGTAGCGTGTTATCATGAGATGTTGCAGTGTATTGCATCGAGCCCATTGGACTCTGGATTTTCACTGCATGGCAACGCTGAGGTTCAATTACACCTGGAGAACCCCAAAGGAAGACCTGAGCTCTGTGTGTTTGCTCATGTCTTCTCTGCCTTGCTCAGCCCCTGCTCTGAGCACCCACCCCCTTGCAGCATCTCTCTGGGTACACAACCAATCTCCTCTTGCAGCTGCAGCCAAGCACCCCCCAAGCGCAATGAACTGAAATAACAGTTGTGCTCTTTTCCCTTCCTTTCCGTAGGAGTTGTAGTGGGTTTGTATCACTTTGTCTTGCTGTGGAGCTGGGGGTGGGGAAGGGAGGAGGAGGGGAAGGCGAGCCTGGGAGCAGTCCTGGCAGAGCCCCGTTTCTCACATTCGCTGACTTGCTGTGCTGGGCACTGGCTTGAATTTCCCATGCATCGCGTTGGCTACTACCTCGTGAAGCTGGCCATAGTGAGCTGTGCCAAAGAACCACATCAGGCTGATAATCCTATACTGGCTGAAGGAAGGAAAAGACCATCATGCATCCATTTCCCAGGCAGCCAGGGGACCATCCTGCCCCCAAAAGCACAAGGCACAGAGCTTGGCTTGCCTACTGCCACACATCTCCAATGCAGTGAGCCCCACCTGAGCCCATCCTGCCAGTGCTTGTTGTCCTCCAAATACCTGGCTCCAATTATAACTGCACCCTGGGCATCTGAACCTATGAGATGAATCCTACCGGTGCTATCTTAAGAGGGTATCAGGGTCAACCTGGCCCCACAGAGCAACCAATATGGAATTGGTTAGCAACATCAGGTGATCCTGGGTTTCCCTAGGTATTTGGGGGGCCACCCTGCCTCTTTGAGCAGTGCCTCTTGCAGCAAGGGGATCTGCTCAGCTGGGGGCAGACTGGCAGGTCTTTCTGGGGATGGTGGGATGGGGCTGGTGCTTGCACAGTGAGAAGCCCCTGCCTCTTGAGCAGCTCCAAGCTGCGATATCAATGCTGAAAGCATTTCCCTTCTCACCGCTTCATCCCACGCAGGCTGGGGGGAAGCAGAGCTCTTGGAAAGCATCTCAGTGTGTGTGGGAGCAGGTGAGGGCTGTTTGTGCTTTCATCGCAAAGCAAATGGGGACCAGATCTTCCCAATGCAGTAGCTCTGCTTAGGCTGTCAGCCTGGCATTGCTTTTCTTGTGTTTGGGGTCTACGCACCCCAATGTTTTCTCTCACTCCTATTCCTGGTGGTTCTCCTCTCCCTCTCCTGCCTAGAAGTGCTGGAGGGGGGGTTGGTGAATGTCTCCTTGCTCGGTAATTACAAGTGCAGGGAGCAACAAGAAAGGGCTTTGCAGCTGCCTTTCCCCAAACCCAGAGGATTTGCTTTTGAGCAAGTGTAGAGTTCAGATCTCCATCCCCTCGTGCTGGTGAGGAGGTGGCAGTGTCTACACTGCGGACACCAGGCAGGTGAGGACAAGCCTGGACCATGTACCTACAGAGGCCCCTGCCCTCCCTAACCTCCTGCTGCTTCTGGGCTGAGAAATTAATGTGGATTTTCCTGGCTGCTCCTCTTTCTTACTCTGCACAGGGCAAGACTCTGCACACGCAATAAGATTTAGAGCTTCTTACATGAACAAATCAAATCGTGAACTGCTATCAGTTAATTAGGATGATTCAGTGCCCTGTGCAGCCTGCAGCTCCCAGCAACCTCCTCTCCACTGGCTGCTCTGGAGCTGCTGAAGCCACCCAGATACAGCAGCTCCCTGCTTAATTGTGTTTCCTTTCAATTATGGCTCTGGATGGCTAAAGTCTGGGAAGCATTTTGTGTCGCTGCAGGGAGCTTGGGGCTGAGCTGCAGCCCCACAGCAGCCACGTGGGCAGGAGGCACCGGACCACATTTGGGTACAAAGTGGGGTGAAAGGTGGTGGTGAGGTGGAAGGGAGGGATCGGTTACTGGTTTGGTGTAACCTCGCTGATGAGACCCAATGAAGATGCAACTTGCACTGCTCTGTTGTTCTGGTAGGAAACCAGCGCTGTTTTGGTGAGCTGGGAGGAGGAGAGAAAAGGGTGGGGGGAGAATGAGGGAGTAACTGTCTGGTGGTTGGATAAGGCAGGAGGAATCCCATCTGTTTGTAGCCCATAACTGCACACTGCTGCTGGCGTTGCGGCTGAATTTGGCCTGTCAGGCTG